GGGGGGAGCGGGTGGGGCCCGCCTGGGCCGGCGGCGGCGTGGGGAGGGGGCGGTGGGGCAGCACCGCGGCCTCTGCCCGGTCCCGGCCGCTGGCCCAGGGCAAGCGGTGTTGGAGGCCAGGCCCTGCGCCTGTGGCCCGCCCGTGGTGCTACAAGAGATGCGCCGGCCCCGGGCGCTCCGCGGGAGCGGCCCCGGGGCTGTGGGGAGGGCTCGGCCCGGGGAACAGAGGCCTCTCCTCCGGGAAACCTCGGAGTGGGGTGAGACCCGGCCTCCGTGGGGTCTTCCTTTTTGAGACTGCCTGCTGAATGGCCGCGGCAGTATTGGAGAAAAATCCATGGCTGCTCGTGTAGTTTGATGCTGGGAACTGTCAAGATGTGAATGTTTGGAGTCTGAAGTGGAAACGAGGCATTTTGGGTTTTTTGAGAGGGAAATTAGAGAGGAGAGCCCTAGTGGGCAGTTTGTACTCATCGAAAAAAGCTTTGCTAGCTGTCTGTTTGGGTTTTTTTTTGTTGCCTATGAAGAAATTAAAACACGTTTGGCTCTGTTGAAGAAGGCTTTCTTCGTTTTGCACTCCTGGGTCTGTTTCTGCAGCTGGTAGCTGCTGTACTCCTGGTGCTGGCATTTACACGGCTGAGCAGTAATCTTTAGAGCTCGAGCTGTAGGCTAAGCTCTAAGCTTAACTTTAAAGCTCTGTTAAACTTGGAAGCGTTTTTTATAAATGTCTGCTTGTGACCCGAAAGCATCTCGCAAACAGTAGTGAAGTTTGGTGCAACTCTGTGCAGGAAGGTAGGTGTTGTCTTGGCTATGTGAAGACATGACGAGATTTGTATGCCCCAAAAGACAGTATGATGTCCTGTTCTGCTGAACGTTTTCTGATTTCTTCATGTCTGTTGCTCAACAGTGCTTTTAAAAAATAATTATTTTTTTTAAAGCTTTCCATCAATGCTTTTGACTATAACTGTCACTTGGATCTGATAAAGCTGCTGCGCCAGGAGGGAGAGTTGGTAAAGCTCAGAAGAGCTCGTCAGAAGATGAGTGAACTCTTTCCGCTTACCGAAGGTACAGAGCATTTTCTGCTCATGTTGCAGCCAGTACTGCTTAAGCATCATCCATGTAAAATACTGTTGTTTCAGTAGTGAAATAATGTGTTTGTGCCAGGCTTCAACAACATTGTTTGAGTCCAGAGAAAGTTAAAAGAACAGGTTTGGGACTTTTTAAACTCTGAACGCTGCTGCTGTTAATGGCCAGCATTGAGCTTGGCCTCTGGCAGATGCAGCGTAGCGAGCCTGTTGCAGGAATTCGAGTTCTTGCCCCTTGTAACTGGGCCATCCTGCCCCGTCCTCTGCCAGAGGCTGCTGCGGTAGAGTGGAACTGGCGTGGGGGGGTGTTTGTGTGTGCCCAGCTACTCCGGTCACTGGTCTATCCATCTGTTAGCTGGGGGAGTTACTGCTAGGATGCAACCTGCTGTAGCCTGGGGACAGGCATATGTTTGTTTTTGCTGCCTTTTTGCTGTGGGGCTGATAACATACAGCTGTGGGATGGCAGCACTGAAAGGGCTCCAGTCACTTAGCAAATGTGACTCAGAGCCCAGACAAACTCCTGCCAAAAGTTAAATTTCGCAGGCAAGCAGCAAAAAATATTATGTCGGTGGAAGTAGCAGGTAGCCGTCGAAATGGGTGTTTCTTTTTTATTCATAACACAGAGGCAATGTAAATATTGCAGAGGCTGTTCTGCCAGTGTGCTTTTAGCCTTGGCAAGGGAAGGTTTCCTTCTATGCGTGTGGAAACTTGCAGCCTCTAAAGCCGTTTACTGTTTGTTGTAAAAGTGTGAGGAAAGTTGTACCTCTGGATGCCTCTTTGGTTACTGGTGCGTACTGATCCTCTGCCCACGGTGCTGATAAATTGCTGCTTGCAACTTCTCTTGTTAAATAGAAGTGTGCTTGTTTAGTACTAATTTGAAAAGGCCTCTACCAAACTTTTCTTTTAATTGTGAGTAGCTGTGGAGGCTAAAATTGCTCTCTTCTCTCCCCATTTTGAAGTCTGTTACTAAAAACTCTCATAAAAAATTCAACAAGTGGATTTAACTTACTTTCTCTGAACATTGGTGATGTATTCCAAACTTCTTCCTTTCAGAAATTTGGCTGGACTGGTTGAAGGATGAGATAAAAATGGCTTCTGAAAGCTCCGAGCGAGAGAAAGTTTATGAGCTCTTTGAGAGAGCTGTGAAAGACTACATCTGTAAGTTGTTAATATATGCTATAAAATGTATTGTGTTGCATTCAGATTATGGCTTTCTTTTTCTAGAAAAGTTTCTTCCTTCTGTTATAATGCAGAAATTGGGTCAAAAATATTAGTCTGAGGCAATCCTCAGTTTTTCTGAAGCATTGGAGTTAAAGGCCATTCAAAGGCAATGCTTTAAGTATTATTGCAGTCTTTAAGATCTTCTAAACAAATGTTGTAAACAAGTTTTAAATGCATGTTTCGCACTTCTCTAATCTCTAAAAGCAGCAGGTATTGCGCTCCCTTAGGGAATGCTTTCTCTGTTACCCATTATGGCTTAAAACTTTTAGCTTAAAGCACTGAGTAATTTTGGGTGTTGTGGTGAGGTGCTGAAAACACAAAGCCTGAAGAAGCAGAGAGGGCTTGGTAGCATTGAGGCGAATCCCTTGCATAAGGGAACAAAATGTCACGTTACAGCACCGGCATAGTTGGCCTCACAGAGTGTTGGTGATTGTTCAGGAAGAAGGAATGGAGAGGTGGAGAACTGAGAGGGAACTGAGCAGATCCTCTGGATCTGCTGGTTTGGGGTTTGGAAAGACAAGTTCTGGAGCCCGAGATGTGCAATCTGACATCCGTTGGTTGGATAGTCTCTGCTGGGGGTCCCTGAACCTAATTTGCTCAGATACTGCTGTTGGTGGGAGAGGTGCCAGGCAGCTAACGCTCTTCTAGCAAACCCTCCTCCTTCGTAGTTACGCTGCTTAAGTAGTTGCTGAACAGGCAAGTACAGGAGCCTGGAAAGAGAAGAAGGACCTACTTTAGTCTGAGTTCTGTAGGACTGCAACAGCTTTGTGGTCCTAGCTCTGCACATGTGCTCAAGAAAAGTCAGGTTGCTGTTAGGGGGGTCTTGATGCATCTCTGATGCAGCCCGTGTACCAGAGGTGGCATATGGGAGTCGGTCTGTGTCAGGAACGGCCACAGGAGTGACTTCTTTCAGAAGACAATTGTAGTAGCTGGGACTGAACCAAGAGCATAGAATAAAATATAAATAAATACCATAAAATAAAATACCATTCAGGGGAGTAAAGAAAAATTAAAGAAAATTGGTGGGTGTTGGTCTATTTGTGGGTGTTTGGGAAGCAGAAAGATGCCTTTTTTATCTTTGAGGGGATTAGGTCATCTATTTCTCATAACTTTGTTTAGGTCCTGAAATCTGGTTGGAATATGCCCAGTATTCAATAGGTGGCATTGGTCAGGAAGGAGGAATTGAGAAAGTTCGCTCAATATTTGAGAGAGCGCTAACTGCGGTTGGACTGCATGTGACAAAAGGAACAGCTTTATGGGAAGCATACCGTGAGTTTGAGAATGCCATACTGGAAACGGCACAGGTAAGGCCGGTCTCCTGGACTCTTGTGAGAAACAAGTTGCCATGTAGTTTCTGAAGTCATCTTGTGCTGCCCCCTCATCAGTCTCTTCTGAGAAAAGAGGTTGTAATGGCACACAGTTGCTTCTTTTCAGCTGTAGAAATTGACCCTTTGGTCTAGGAAAAACATTTGGTGTATTTAGTTGATGTAGTAATGGATTTGTGTTTAAATAAGATCATAAAATCTCTTATCCAGGAGCAAAGTTCCACACTACTTCTTTAGCTTGAGCTGACAAGAATAGCTTTAAATTGAGTAGCTTCATTATGAAACAATGTTCCTGCCAGCAAATATTTTTGCACATAGTCAATCATGTTTGTATTTCTAGACTGTTTTCTACTTCAGCTTTTAACTCATTCATTATTTCACTCTTTTTGTGACTTTGGGATGATGGTATGTTATCCCTGGAACATACTGTTTGACATCTGCAAAAGTACTTTTGCAAGATGGCCAGAATGTGAATATTTGGTTTTTTTGTCACATAAGATATGGAAGTTAAAAGATGTCCCTGCCCATAGTGGGGGAGGGGGTGGAACTAGATGATCTTTAAATGTCCCTTCCAACCCAAACCATTCTATGAAACGCTCTAACAAAGGAGTAATGGGAGAACACCCTTTCATCCACAGACAGAAAGCTAGCTGGAAGTTTTAAATCATCTGTGCATGCACCAGGGATTTATTGAAAAAACTATTTGGCAGCCCAGTGGGGTTTGTGAAATGGCATGATAGCATGCGGCTTACTTTTTTTCAGGTTATCACTTCCCTATGCATATGTCAGCTTTCGGTGAGGAATGCTTTTCACATTCATCCAGCTTCTGAGTCTAGCAGCTTCCAAGTTTTAGCTTTCGCAGCAGCAACCTGAAGTACACGTTGGCTGTGTCTGTTCTTCAAGGATCGTGTAGTCATTTGGAGCCCAGACCCCCAGCCCATAAACAATACCCCATCATGTTCATCAGCTCAGGCTCGAGGGAACTGATTACATTTCAATCCTTTTGTTTGTAGCCAGCTCCTGGCAGCGTTCCGTCGCCTGAGCAGCAGCAGATGCTCTGCAGCCAGCTTGAGAAGATCCACATGCTGTTCAGGCGCCAGCTGGGGATCCCGCTGTTAGGTAAGAGCCGGTGCGCTTGGCGAGATGGCATGGATAAGCTGTGTTACGGCGATCCAGGCATTAGTCACGATTATTCTTTTGGTAGAGCCACACAAACTGCAGCTGTAGTATTTGTGAATTCTTTGTTCCATGACATTTGCCTGTCTTTAGGGCCTCTTGAATGATGCACAGATCCCTTTTGTTCAGAAATATTCTTACTTATTAAAACTTGTTTTTTCTGTTTTTTCAGTACATAATTTCAGGCTATTTAAAGTACAAGTGATGAGCACAAAACATGACTATTAGGGACTAGGAATTCAGCTGTGATGATCACTACATAAGAACCTTGCTTGGTAGGGAACAGTACACGCTGACAGCTGGACTGTCAGAATTCTACCGTATCTGCTTCGTTCTTTGAATGCCTTGAGTCCCTTTTCTTGTGGCTTTGCTTATAGGAGAAAGTTAAGCACAATTCTTTGACTTCTTCGTTTGCGTATTGAAAGAATTTGGGTTGGTCTCTTTTCTTTAAAGCCTTGGGAAAATCTTGCCGCTTTGGTTTTCTAAATCAAAATCAGTAGCTTTAATATAACTTGTCCTGAGTTTGTGTTGTAGTGCACTGTATAAGATGAAATGTCTGAACTCTATAAGCATGCGGTAGTGTGACAGTTAAGATACAAGAGTGTAAATAGAAATACAAATATGTTAGAATAAAATATAGGTTGAATGTTGACTATTTAGCCCAGTAAGTTATTGATGGGGTTTCATGTCTATTTTAATAGATATGGAGGCTTCATATGCTGAATATGAGGAATGGTCAGAAGATCCAATACCAGAACCAGTAATAAAGAATTACAAAAAAGCTCTACAACAATTGGAGAAGTGTAAACCGTATGAAGAGGCACTGGTAATGCTGTTACTTATACCTTGCTTTAAAACTAAAAGTTAATTTCTTCGGGGTGATTTTTTTTTTCCTCAAATCTTGGTATTTTTCTAGTCACAAAGATAAAGCAGCTGTGTATTGGTAGGTGACTCTCTCAGCTGTGAGCAATGTGAGACAAGAAGCCTCACAACTGGGTATACTGGAAACTATTGAATCTATTGACTGTGTCAGGCCACCCTAAGGTGCACATGAGTACTCTGGCCATTCATTCCAGCATTGATGAGCACACTGGGCTAAAAGGAATAAAAAGTAGGGATCTGAATGGCTTCAGAACCAGGATGGTATTTTTGAGATATGTGAAAATCAAAAGCTGTTGATATTTAGCGGCCAAGCTCTTGTGTGAAATTTTGCATGAGACCTACTCTGAGTGACAATTGAACTGTTTGAATTGTGCTTTGTTGAGAAGATTTTAATTTTTTTGTATTTCTGTTTTATAGCTGGGTGCTGAAACACCAAAACTAGCAGAATATCAAGCTTACATTGATTTTGAAATGAAAGCAGGTGATCCAGCTCGCATTCAGTTGATCTATGAGAGGGCTTTGGCTGAGAACTGCCTTGTGCCAGATCTTTGGGCACGCTACAATCAGTATTTGGTAAGGAAAAAACCCAGGTGTTTGCCATTCTATTTTCCTGTTTTTTTTTTTTTATCTTAGTGGCTGATAGATGAATGACCAGTAAGTTCTACCTCAGTCCTGTCCATTCATATTTAAATTTTTCAGAAACTGATTTTCACCTCACCTTTTGGCTTCTTCCTGTTGTCAGTGGTGTGTTTGTTGATCAAGTGAGCATTTGCTCACTTTTTCCTCCAGTTGTGTGTTTTCTCTGCAGAATTAAACTGAGTGTGGGCATCGAGGCTTGTGCTGTCTGGCAAAGAGTTGACTAGTGTAACCAGTGGTACTGTAAGGCCTGGCGTTGTCCCTGGTAGCTAGTCATCCAGAGGCATTGCTTTTGAGGATGTCCCTCCTTTTCTTCTAGCTTTGGTAGGCAACGCAGTTCAGTGCTGTCTGAATCACTGGGGAGCCTGCCTCTCCTTCAGGAGACACAGATAAATTAATGACAGTGCTTGTTTGAGGGCTGCCAGTGCTCTCCTGAATATTTTACAGTGGAGAACAAAGAACTAATTTACCAACAAGCCAAAGAAAACCCAGATGTTTAGTCTGTATTTCCATGTGGGCTAGTTAGTGCACTTTGAAAATCGTATCGAACTTGAGAGGCAGGGTTTTCATGTGGACAGAAGGTTGGTCTATTGAGAGATCAGTGTAACTCACTACAGGAAGCTTATCTATCATCTGGGTTAGGTGAGAGATGGATTGAGAACTGGCTGAATGGCAGAGCTCAGACGGTTGTGATCAGTGGCGCACAGTCTAGTTGGAGGCCTGTAGCTAGCGGGGTTCCTCAGGGGTCAGTTCCGGGTCCAGTCTTGTTCAGCTTGCTCATTGATGACCTGGATGAAGGGACAGAGTGTAACCTCAGCAAGTTTGCTGATGATACAAAACCGGGAGGAGTGGCTGATCCACCAGAAGGCTGTGCTGGCATTCAGTGAGACCTGGACGGGCCGGAGAGCTGGACGGAGAGGAACCTAATGGAGTTCAACAAAGGCAAGTGTAGGGTCCTGCACCTAGGGAGGAATAACCCCATGCACCAGTACAGGTTAGGGGTTGACCTGCTGGAAGGCAGCTCTGCGGAGAAGGACCTGGGAGTCCTGGTGGACAACAAGGTAGCCATGAGCCAGCAATGTGCCCTTGCGGCTCCTCCCCCTCTACTCTGCCCTGCTCCTTCTCTGGAGATATTCAAAACCTGCCTGGATGTGATCCTGTACAACCTGTTCTAGGTGAGCCTGCTTTAGCAGGGGGTTGGACTGGATGATCTGAGAGGTCCCTTCCAACCCCAACCATTCTGTGATTCTGTGATCTAGGCTGAGTTGCTCCGTCATGTCTTGATCTTATCAGCTTGAGACAGCAGGTTGCAGGTGGAACGGTGCCTTACTCCCTTGAGTAGGCTGTGTGTGCGCCCTCTTTCTTGTATCCTTTCCTCCCCTTTTCTAAACATACTAAGAACAGCTGGGAGTTTACTTGGTGTCTTAATTATATTTCTCTCATTGGCAGAAAATACCGAACTGGCTTGTTTAGAAGCAGACAGCTAGGTATTGCAGACTGAATATGGCATGGAGTTCTTGTTTGTGTTGCTCCTGAGCATATCCTTTCTGTTTTGAAGGTGTTCACTGGGTTTTTAGACGGAATTTAAAATACCTACCTGTTCTTAGCTTTTCAAATAGAAAATGGAAGTACTGTTTTAAGGTGTTGGCTCTTTATAAGCTGGTACGTCTGAGACGGGCTCTCTGGCTAATAGGAACTGAAAACTTTGTTTCATGATTATTTCAGGACCGGCAGCTGAAAGTGAAGGAGTTGGTCTTGTCCGCTCACGACCGTGCTGTTAGGAACTGTCCCTGGACAGTTGGCCTGTGGATTCGATACCTTTTGGCAATGGAGAGGCACAGAGTTGATCACGGCATTATTTCTGGTAAAGAAAGTCCATCTCAGCAAGACTTCCTTACACTACAGAACCGATCTCTGCGTTCTGAATAATGCGTCAGACAAACAGCGACCTGTCGGACGCTGTAGGATTTGTTTTCATCCTGCTGCAACAGTCTTAAAGCTGAGGAAATGTACAGTAGCGTGCTTCTAGGGCAAAGCTGCTTTTGTTGAGCGGCTTCAATTCTGAGCGAGCAATTTACTTCAACTTTGCATGAACGTTCCTGAATTAAACTGGCTTTTACATTCATTTCCTAAACCAATTTAGCATATGTAGGATTTCTTATGTTTTCCTGTCTTCCTAGAAATGTAAGGTATATGTACTTTGTGCTATATGCTGTAGCTTGCTAATTTTGTCAAGATTTGAAAATATTTGTTTGTGTGACTGTTTTCCCCATTTCTTTCAGAAATGTTTGAAAAAGCTCTGAATGCAGGTTTTATTCAGGCAACGGACTACGTAGAAATCTGGCAGGCATATCTTGATTACCTGAGAAGAAGGGTGGATTTTACACAAGGTATATATGATATATGTGTGAATAAATATTTAAACTGTTTTCTATGTACCTCTCTGAAACAGTGGTATTACTTTTTTAAAAATTTAACAGTAGTTTCATATCTTTCACCAAAATTACTTTCTGGCCAGTTAGTGTCTATAAAATATATGAACTTGGTTGGTTTAAAGCAGCTCCTTGCTGACAGAATAGATTG